AGCGGCCGAAATGGGTTTCCTCCGTAGGGTGGCTGGGCTCTCCCTTAGAGATAGGGTGAGAAGTGATAAGCGGAGAAGGGATAAGCGGAGGTGGATGGATGGTGGATGAAGTATAGAGACTCTGAAACATGCCTTTAGCTGATAGAGCAACCTAGTAATTATATCGAAACTGTAAAAATGTATAAACATTTGCTCTATCCAGAACTCCTTAAGTGGAAAAGTTTTAGCCTCACCTGATTTAATTAGTAAAAAACTTTTTTAGGGATCGATTTTTAATCGATTAATCAAAAATAATCAACAGATTAATCAGTTCGAAAAATAATCGTTAGTTGCAGCCCTTCTTGAAGTTTTAAATCTGCATTATTGTGAAGTGTCTTTTTAAAATCATGTTTGTTTTGAGTTTCGTGCATTGATCCCAGCTGTGTGTTTGATCATCTGCAGCTCCACAGGTGAAGAAGAAGAAGATGATGTGTTTGTAGGTAAAGACCTATCATCTCTGCTTGAGGAAGATGCTGGTGGTGTGCAGGAAAAATGGACCCCGCTGACTGGTGATCAGCTGGAAGCTGTGTGTGAAGAAGCCCACAGACTTGCCCGCCAGCTGCAAATTGGAGATTCTCCTGGCGAGGACAACGACACAACCAAAACAACCTCTGATACAAAAATCAGCTCAGTGGCTGAGTGTGAAGAATTCACCGAGGATACTGAGGCTAAATTAGGAAAGCTGGGTCACACTGCCAGCGTCCTCAGTCCCATTAAACGTCAAACCTTCTGCGTGCAGGACAGCCCCCTGAAGCAGCTGCCACCTGCCATCCAGCGGCAGCTGCTGCGAGGGAGCAGCTCCAGCAGAGCCTCATCCAGCCAACCTGCTGCCAAGCTTAGTACCCCCAGCCCCATGGTCGGTCCCAGATCTCAGTCCAGAACAACACTACGAGGGAAACCCTCGTTGGGCGCTGTTGGAGTGCTGCCAAATAAACCTGTGGCTCCAACTGCTTCCCGTTCAGCCAGCAAGAGCGGTTTGGATAAAACCAGACTTCAGCCGCCGAGCAGAGTAAATGCTCTTCCTTAGCCTTATCACAAATCAAGAACACAAAACAAAAACATTCTTGCTATGTGAACATTTCTTCTCTTTAGACTACAGGTGTTCTGAGGCGGAGCCTGTCATCCCGTCCTAATACCAGGGCGGAGTCCACGGAAGATTTACTCTCTGATTCGGTGAGCGTGGCCTCAGACACCAGTGACTGCTCCCTCAACTCCAGTTTGCTGGGTAAACGCAAACTGGCCCCGCCTTCCAAGGTAGCGCATGTAACCACTAGTGACCATGAGGACAGATAAATGGTTTTCTCTCCTTAGCTGACAAAGTATATGCCAAGACCAAGATCCAGTTATACATGATAAAATAAAGCTTTATACTCCTGTCGTCCCTCCTGTGCTGTAATGCCTTGCAGAGAACCGGCGGCATAGTGTATAGGGCTGGAAAGCATTGCTATCAAATTCTCAGTGACCTCAGCACGTTTCCTGCGTGAAAACTGACAGTGATTCTAACCTCTGTCAGTGTTTCCACCATGACTTTGGAGATATATCGATTTTTAGAGGGCTGCTATAAAACGTAAAGCAGCTGAATCATATGATAGCAACTCAAAAAGCACACTTACACCTGACCGACCTGTTTAAGTAAAGATTTGCATTAAAAACGCTGCTGTACATTATTTTAAATTACGTCAGGGGTCGGCAACCCAAACTGCTCAAAGAGCCATATTGGACCAAAAAACAAATCTGTCTGGAGCCGCAAAAATGTAAGTCTTATATATGCCTCGTATGGCAACACAGGCTCTAAGTGTATTAGCCCACTATAAAAAAGGACTATGTGGGCTTAAATATATAATAAGCATTCATGATTAAAGGTTTATCCTGAAGCAAATGTCACATATTAGCATGAGGCGAGGGAGGAGCAGTGAACGCGCTCACTGCGTGGAATCCACTGTGCGCCGCTTCACCGCCCTTCATCGCGCGGTTTAAGTTTTGTTTCATTGATGAAAATATAGACACACTATAAAGGAATCTTTCTATGGTGGACGTGATTCTGTTGGGAGGAGTTGATGGAGTCATGAGGAACCAAGCAGGAACTGACATCCATCAGAGCAGAGCTCTCTAACCCTGAAATCTCACATCCTCCGTCACCAGCGTTCCTTGGTGATAGTTTTATTTAGAGGGGGGAAAAAATTCACATACCTGCATCAGAGCGCTACCCGTTTGATCTGTGGACGGTTTTTTCATGCATGCAACAAAACTAGCAGCAGTAGTGGAGTTAGGAGATGCAATCCATTTCTTAAATCTATCTTTGCTCTCCTCTGATTTATCTAGTTCTGCAATCGCACTTTTTCTCTCACTCCCAACTTTGTGATTGGCTGCATGTTTAGCCTTGCCGTAAAATGCCTTTCCAAATTACTATTTTTATTATTTGACAAATTGTTGTGCCAAAGCAAAAATGCAGGCAATCCTGCCACATTGATAATGAAAGCAAATGATTCGGTCCTTTCTTCTTTGAATCCTCTGTTCTCATCTTCCTTTTTTCCCTTTGGGATCCATGGTCCGGGACACATCTGCAGCTTTCTTTGCCTGCCGCTGAAACGTGTGTTGCAGGCTTTGACCACTGGTCTCTATGGCTATGACGCACATTTTCGGTGTAATAAACGTTTACATATATTGTTAAAAGCTACAGTGTGTAATAATTACAGGGATATACAGTCAGAAATGTAATATATTATACATAACTATGTTATTTATCATCATCTACGAGCTCAGCCTCTTAACCTTAATATTTGCGTTGCCTTAGAATTCGTTATTTATAATTACATAGGAGCGGGTCTCGCAGCCATGGAGGCAGACATCTTTGCGCTACGGCAGCGCAGAGCCAACAAACTAGCGATTGCGAGATCGCCCATTACGCTCGAAAGTAACTACGGCAAGTTGAAAGAGATGAACTGAGACGGTACTGAAATCTATACCCTACACAGACTAATGAAATACTATCTGTAAAATTATCTATGTAAACAAACCTCATCACCTGAGAAGGTAGGTGATGCGGACGTTTTTTGAAAAAGCTCCAGGGAGCCGCTGGGGGGGCACTAAAGTGCTGCTGGTTGCCAGCCCCCTCATTAGGCAATGTAAAATACTACCCACCTCTTAACAGTGCTATATTTGAAATGTCCTGTAGAGGGAGCACCACTCAAAAAATAAGATTAAAATGGACTTGAACCCTTAGTGGCAGGTCAAAGCTAAATGAAAGACAAAAGCTGCTCCCAAAATTTGGATCTGTTCATCTCCAACAATTATTTTATTTCTTTAACTGCGTCCATATTCTACAAAACAATGCAGACATGTCGTCTAATTAACTCTTGCAAAGAGCAATGAGATGCAGGGTCCCTTCTGAACTAACAAGTTGCCAACAAGCATGAGCATTACTAATAATGCTGAACTGAAAAGTTTTTTTTCCTCCTCATTCATATCCAGTTCAGCCATGCCTGGCGTTTGCATTAATGCCATTTTCTTTGTTTCGCTCTAACAGGATGCTGGACTGAGAAAGATCTCACGTGTTAAAGCTCCAGCTGTTCAGACCTGCAGGGTCACAGAGAGGAGGAACACCTCTTCTTCTTCATCTTCAATGTCCAGCTTGAACTCCAGTATATCTTTGTCCCCTGCTAAAGGTGAGCTAAATGCTCTTACTGGTTGTCTATAGGGGGTCAACTAGAAGTTTTGGTTGGCCTACTGATGAGCAGAGGCTGACTTGTAGTTTTCCCAGGTTCTGTTTCTTATACTTTAAGTTGTATTTGTCACCATGAGCTTATTAGCAGTGGATCAGTCGCCACTGCTGCACTAGTCACTTAACCAGGGCTGCTGCGTAGGATTATTTTAGCAATCCAGTATTCTGTAAATGAATCTTTATCTGGATGAAAGATTGGTGCATTCTGCAGATAAATTAAATTAAGTAACTTAAGCTTGTTTAAATTAAGAATATGCTTGTAAAAAATGAAACTGTAATACAGCAGCATGTCTTTGGAGAAAATGTTGATATTTATAGGAAAAAGAGGCAGCTAAAGCAACGTTTTAAACGTGTCTGAGGATCAGTGCTCTCTGTTTGAACATCAGTACAGCCTTGGTAGTGAAAATCATCACAAACAAGAGCATAAATCTTTCTTTCATATTTCATTATGGATTTCAGACATTTTTTTTAAATCAAAAAGCATAATAATGAAACGTAATCCTTAGTTGTGTGAAATGATTAGACTATTCCTGTTACGTTTAGTTTTTTGATGTGGAAAGATAGAAAATAAATAGGAAACAATATCAGAAGATATTCATTATACCCATCAAAAAAGGTAAGGGGCACTTTCAGATCAATGTTGGCTCTTTTAACCCCCAATGGCTCTTATTTTAGGATCTTTTGTAGTTCTATATTTTGCATGAACTTTTCAGAAATTGAAGCAACATTGTTGCTTTTAGCCACTGGGGGCGCTAGACCTGTAACTTCCTGGTTTAGTCCCTCTAAAAGCAGCTGGCAGTGCTGCAATTACAACAAATGAAACTGTCTAAAACTTGGCCACTATTGCTTTCCTTCTCAAGCTGTGGTTATATTCTTTGCCCTCTCAGGTAAACTAAACCCGCCCTTAAACCGGAGTCTGAGCAGTTCCACCGGCACCAGCAGCTTCAGCAAAGAGCCCCCTGTTCTGAACAGACCTCGCCGTTCCACTATCTGCACCTCTGCAGAGCCAGTCTCCTCCAGCACTAGATCTCAGTCACAGTCCAGCCAAGCCTTGAAGCTTCCTAATGGAGAGCGCGCCAAAATCGCCAGATTGACTCCCATGAAGAGAGCAGAGATCACGCCAATACAACCGACTCCTCCAAAGAGAATGATAGACAGACCTGTGTCTGTTGGCACAAGCAGCTCAGTCAAGCTGCAGAGCAGAGTGAAGACCAGATCCAACCCTCCGCATCATCCAACCCCCAACATGGCAGAAAAAAGAGTGGAGCACGCGGACGGTGAGAACAGACAGAGATTTTACTTTTAACTAGGGCTGGGTATTTTCACCAAAGTCCTGAATCGATTCGATTTTGATTAATACAGTTCTAAATCGATTAATTTCAATTCAATCTGTTTTTACAATAATGAAAGTGGTTCAACTGTGTTTCAAAATACTCATGTATTTTATTTTTTTCCTGTCACATTAAACACAAAGCGCAAACTTGTAAATCGGACAGTTTAAACTTGAGATGTGAACAAAACTGTCTCAAAAGTGCAAACTTGTTTGTGAAAAGTGAAAAAGCGAAGCCTCACTCGAGCGAACAGACGTAACACAGCAGACATGCATGAGCTGCATTATCTTCACTGCACAAACCATATGTGCAGCGTTGTCTGTAACAACTACAGGGTGCTTTCTGGTCAGCCCCCATTTGTTAATGTCTTCAGTCAACCTATTGGCTATAGTTGCAGCTGTCTGGCTTGAAGTCATCTTGAGTGCATCTTTCCTGCTTATTTGAATGTGAAAGCATGTGTGTCTATAAAACTAAACAATCTCATTCCCTAGACATTGACTTTGCAAAAATGTAAAGAAATCGATTCAAATCGATTAAATCGATTTTTGTACCCAGCCCTACTTTTAACAGTATCAACATCTGCTTTTTCTTTTCTTTTTGTATCTACGCACTTCTGCACTTTATTCCTAAACACAAAGTGTCAAATTATGTAAATTGTGAGGGTCTTCGTCTGTCGCAGTCCATTCTCATCTGCTTCAAACCCAAACCAATTTTTTATTGTTTAATAATCTATTATTTCTCTCTCAGGCACCAAGGTGATGAAGCCAAAAAGGCTGTCAGTCAGCAGCACAGACAGGTACGGTAGATCCACACGACTGTAACCTATGGGTCTGCCCGCTGTGCCTCAACAGCGCTGCCCAGACCTTCTTCTTGTGATATCATAACTCTATAGCTAAGGGCTCTGTGTTGTGCAAATATCAGATATTCAAGGCCCTCTAAATGTTATTTAATCAGATAATATTCAGACTGTCATATATATTATTCTGTAAACAACAATGAATGTGTGAATCAAGCTCAAATCATGGCCAAACAGATAATTGTCTACATATATGGAATTAATCTACCACAACTTCCATTCATAAATGAGAGTTTGATAACAAGAAATCATTCAGCCCCAGGTCACACACATTTCAGTTATAAACTATATAACTATAAAACTCTTGGCTGTATTAGTGAAACTCAGCTAAACTGAGGAAGAAAAAACATGGTTAAAAACCATAATCAATAAAATGAAGCCATGATATCACAATGCGGCATGGGTTTTATGTTTGAGAACCAAAGTTTATCTTGAAGAATTACACTTCTACTTTACTTTATTTCCCCCTTAGGGAAATTTGGTTTTCAGGAGGGGAAAACAAACAAAAAACAAAGACATGGAAGGACATTTCATACTTACTTCACAAAAACCACATAAACAAGCAGGAAGGGCAGCTTGGGGTTGCTCACTTAGCTTAATGAACTGTAGTTCAAGGAGGAGGCAGAAGCAGACATACAGAAAGAAGCAGAGATACAAAAGGAAACCATCAACCAGCTCCACAGGCGGCCTCGTCCAGGAAACACACAGCCAGGCAAACAAAGTTCGAGCCAGCTCCCACATCAGAGGACAAAGAGAGCACAAACAGACACATTTAGAGAAACAGGACTGCACTGGAAAAACAGACCAAGCTCCAACATCTATAAACAAAGCTGTTTATAGCAGCAACACAGCCGATATTTCTCCCTGGCATGGTGTCACAGCCAAACAGAACCAGATGAAGCTACTATGAGAAAAAGCAGAGAGAGCATGACGTTAGAGATTGACCTAACAAATACTGCAGAATGGAAGAATAGAGATTGAATGATGAAAAGAGGCTCCCTCTGTTCTCCATCAGTCCAAGCCTATAGCAGCATAAAGAGATAGCTCAGGATAACGTTGGCCTCTCTAACTACAAGGTTTATTAAGAAGGAAAGATTTAAGGCTAATCTTAAAAGTAGATGGTTTACAGTAAGAAACACAGTACTGTTACAATGCTCTCTTTATTTAGTTTTACCTCTGTGAGGAGATCACACTGAAAGGATAGGACTTATTTCCATGTCAGATCATGTTGCATTGGGTATAGTGGAGAGAACAAATTCAGAAGTGAGAGAATGGGACTATAAGTAGTTATTTCTCTTTCTTGTTTGCCTAAAAAGCCTAATCAAACATTGCAGAAACTTTATAAGTAGCACTGACTTCAGATTATCTGTTTTTTTTTGTTTTTTTTTAATATATTCAAATAAATATTTTAGCTTTTGTTCCGAAGCAGGGAAGCATGTTTTTTTCATTTGGTCAGCCCAGCAATCAGGTGTTCAGTTAATCTGTGATCGTTTTTCTCTCCAACAGTCGTCCTCAGAAGCAGTCAACTGGTTCCTCTACGCCCTCCGTTGGCGGCTGCAAGCCTCTGCAGGTGGCTGCACGACGCCCATCAGCCCTCCCAACCCCGGTGAAGAGCAGGACGTCTACCTTCCAAGCTTCCTCAAATCAAACACAAACTTTCAGGTTGCCATCTAGGACAGATTCAAGCCTCACTCAAACTCCAAAACCAGCAGAGAAACAGTTGAGTTTTAGGTGAGATGTTTACAACTGTGTTTGAGGGGAGACGGTCACCTGAGATGATCCCCTGAAAAATCCCTCACTGCCCTGTTCCTTATGGTGTCTCTCTGTAGCCCTGCTCCAAAAGAACAACAAGAAGAGCCTCTTCATCACCCTGAGGTCCGGCCCTTCAGTCTTGAGGAGGAGGCCCCCTCTGCCCCCCAGCTTTCAAACAGTCCAGGCACGAAGCAAACACATAGTGATGATCATGGCACCTTAACAGTGAGTGAAACTGTTCCAACTGAAAACCCAACAGCACTGGAGAACAGCACAGCCAAGACCCAGGAGGTCAGTAGTTCATCTTTATTCAGGCTCATGAATGGTATATAGTGAAAATACAAAGTTAGTCTCTTGTTGTGCAGCCTGACGTGGCAGTCATATAATAGCTTTACCTGAAAGGCAATAGAAGAAAGCTTAAAAAACAGGATGATTAGCTCTTTAATCTCAAACAGAACAATATATCCGTGACAACAGACTTTTCTTTTAGCTGTAGGAAGAACAAGCAAACAAATGTGAGCTGTGTTTTGAAATCTCTTAAAGATTTAAGAGACTGTTTAAAGGTCAAAGTAGTTTTTTTTAGACATAATTATGCTAATTCCAACCTCGCAATTTTACAAAATCCGCTCTAAAGATAATTCTGTGGAGATCGGAAAGTAAAACAATCTTCCAGACCTACACATGATCACTGTTTATTTATAAAGCACCACGTCACAAAGTATCATCTCAAGGAACTTTACAGTGACAATTTAAACCATACAGACAAATAGGTTGAATGTTTTCTGAGGACTCCCAGTGCAAGGATTGCTCTGTCTGTGAAAAATGGTTAAGCAGTCAAGTTCTGAGCCAGTTTTCATGTTTGAAAGAATAAAGGAGAGCACATATTCCTGAGGGAAGTAGGACTAAACCTTGAAAACAGGTTCAACTCATTAGTTGCGTTTCCATTATAACATTCTAATTTCAGAAATGCAAATTTTCTAGTTTATTTCCATTAAATAAGTAATGCAATTAAAAATTGCATGTTTGTTCACCTGATGAGTCATAGAATCAACATGGATGTAAACACATGAGATACAGTGAGGAGAATAAGTGTTTGAACACCCAGCTATTTTTGCAAGTTTTCCCGATTAGAAATCATGGAGGGATCTGAAATTGTTGTCTTAGGTGCATGTCCACTGCGAGAGACATAATCTAAAAAAGTAATCCAGAAATCACAATATAGGATTTTTTTAGCTATTGATTTGTATTATACAGCTGCAAAAAATATTTGAATACCTGAGAAAATCAATGTTAATATTTGCTAAAGTAGCCTTTGTTTTCATTTACAGATGTCAAACGTTTCCTGTAGTTTTTCACAGGTTTGCACACACTGCAGGAGGGATTTTGGCCCACTCCTTCACACAGATCTTCTCTAGATCAGTCAGGTGTCTGGGCTGTCACTGAGAAACACAGCGAGTTTGAGCTTACTCCTTTTATTGGGCTTAGCACTGGAGATTGGCCAGGCTACGCCAGAACCTTGATATGCTCCTTCCAGAGCCACTGCTTGGTTATCCTGGCTGTGTGCTCTGGGTCATTGTCATGGTAGAAGACCCAGCCTCGACCCATCTTCAATGCTCTAAATGAGGGAAGGAGGTTGTTGGTCTCCATGTCTCATGTGCAGGAAAATACCCCCAAAGCATGATGTATCCACCCCCATGCTTCACAGTAGGGATGGTACTCATCATTCTTCTTCCTCCAAACACGGTTAGTGGAATTATGACCAAAAAGTTCTATTTTGGTCTCATCTGACCACTTGACTTTCTCCAGTGACGACTCTGGATCATCCAAATGCTCATTGGCAAACTTAAGACCGGCCTTGCATGAGCCCCAGTCTGAGGAAGATGGACCTTTTTTCACCAAGCTGCTTGGCAATTTCCCCGTAGCCCTTTCCAGCCTTGTGGAGGTTTACAATTTTGTCTCTAGTGTTTTTGGACAGCTCTTTGGTCTTGGCCATGTTAGTAGTTGGATTCTTACTGGTTGTATGGGATGGACAGGTGGCTTTATGCAGCTAACGACCTCAAAGAGGTGCATCTAATTTAGCATAATAAATGGAGTGGACCATGGTGACTCTTGAAGTAAGGGCAAGTTACCACAGAAAATAATTTATTATTTTGAAAAGTAATAAGATGTTTTGTTTTTTTCTTATGACTTCCTGTCCCGCGGGATCTGCTCTGTGCCGCCTTGCTCTGTTGAGCTTCATCATTCGGTGAAATATAAAACAAGTTCAACATTTGAGAAATCAAGGCTGAATAAAGGTTTCATTTTCAGTTCAAGACGTCACGTAATGAATGTTGCTTCAACTGCTGGAAATTGACTGATGCCCGATACAGACAAATTTAATTAAACTTTGGTCCGATGTTCCCTTGCCTTCTGAGTAGCTCAGTGGGCTGAAATATTTCCTCATGAAAATCCATGTTTTTCCACACAGTCATCTGCAAATTAAACTGCTCTCCACCTACATTTGTAGATGATGTGCTCCTCTTCCAGCGACTGCAGAGACTGACAACACTAACGGCTTCTGTAGCCCGTGTTGCTACTATAGCGGCAGTGTGTTGATGATGATGGGCAGCACTTATGCCCAAACCCTCACTACTTTTTATATTAGTCACACTACTCTTGGCTTTTCAAATATAAAACACCTTGCAGTTTTGTGGGAGTGGATCAGTGTCCTACAGTCAGTTTCACTTAATTTATTTTTGTTTAATGTATCACAATTTAGGCAAAATATAAATTTTAAATATACAGAGGACATCAACCCAGTGTTCTCAATGGTAGTTACGGCCCTGCAAAAGTTGTACTGTCCCAATAACCAATTAGAACATTAGTTCTATCTATGCTACTACTGCGGTTGCTTGGGAGAATCCACGTCGTTTAACGCGTTCAATGGAACTGCTTGATAGTGCCGGTATAGTACTTTTAGCCCTGTCTTCTCTGGCCCCAGGTTCTTCTGCTGGATCTCCCACCTCCAGCCCTCCAACCTCAAGAAAAACTCCTCATTGATCTAGCCAACACCCCCGACCTGATCCGCACCAACACCAAGACCTGCACCACCACCAACCAGGTTACTTACAACTGTTGCTTCTCTAAGGCTCTCTGGTTCTGTTTTCTATCTCGAAGCCCTTCTGGTTGATGTAGCACTATTCACACATGACAGAATTTATTCTAAAGCAGCAACGGATTAATCGACATTAACGGCCATGCTTTACAAACAGGAACCCTAATAATAAGCAACAGCTGGTTCTATGTGAGGAAGTTGCTTAGTGGTTGTTGACAAAAAGGGAACATCTATATAATTCCGCTGTGCATTAACAGTTGAAGCTTATGCTAACACATTGTCTTGGATAAATAAAGAGGTTTAATAGAGACAAAATTAAACAAATCTAGCATCAAAGTATTTAGCTGTAAATATATGAGAGGACTGTGTCATGAAATATAAATTAAAATTTAAAAATGTACCCATAGATAATTACATTTACTGTTAAACAATTAAAATTAAATTGTTGAATTAAAAATTTAATAATGAAAGGAGTAATAAGTGAGAAAAATGCTTAAAATTTGCCAAAATATTTCTAATTTGTCAGCTGGGATTGAAATGCAACTTTTTATTTTTTTGTGATTAGAAATGCCGGGTGTTTTTATTACTTACTGCACCTTTAAAATACACCTTTTAAATTCTGTCATTAAATTTTTTAACATTAGGGCTGCAACTAATGATTATTTTGCAAATCGGTTAATCAGTCAATTATTTTTGATTAGTTTAATTGATTATTAATCTAATAGCCAAAGGTTCCTTAAAGAAGACTTGTTATTAAATTAAACCAGGTGAAACTAAAACTTTTTCTCTTGAGGAGTTCTAGATAGAGCATATTGATGGAAGAAAAAAAAAATATTATCATAAATGCAGAATGTTTTTATTGTTTTTTACCATCTTGGTCTAATAACTGCTCTAAATGGCTCGCTCTGCCAGTTAAAGCCTCTTTTAGAGTCTCTACACTCCACCTAAAAATTAATTGATAACTAAACTAGTTGACGATTATTTCAATGATTAATCTGATTAATTATTTCAGCCCTAATTAACATACATTTTAATCATTTTACAGTGATGAAATGAGTCGCCCTTAAATAATTTATTTCAGGGTGACTCGTTTAAGTATTTAATTTTTCAGCTTCAGCCAGAAACTTAAAAAAAAATGTCCTGTTTATTTTTTTTATTGTTTTACTCTAAAGTCAATATTTATGTTGCAACAGTTGCAAATTTTATTGCAATTTATTTGCAGAACATTAAGTGTGCAACTGCAGCCTCCACATCCTTAGTTTGGTCTGTAGAAAGTTTGAGATGATATTGACTTTAGAGTTGACACCGAGGCCATGAAACAAATGCAGAAGAAAAAGATGAAACATATATGTGAAAGGTTTTTATTTTAATGACATTTTAATGTTTACCATTACAATTTAAAATTTATATTTAATGGTACATTTATCTGTTTCAATTTACACTTTACGATTTTATGATAAATTGAATGATACATTTAATGAAATAAATATAAAATTAAATAGCACATTTAATTAGTTAATGGTATATTGATCACATAATATATTATGATGGCCTTTGATCTGCAACCTTTAGATGTGTCCGTTTTAACACACCTTGGTTTTATAATAAGGTGATTGGCAGGACAGTAGGACGAACCTGATAACATCCTGAGGACGACTTTCAGCCATTCAGAGCAGATTTTTTACTTGGCATATATCTAGAGCCTGGAGTTTGACACCTGGATTGTACCCAATATATATTTTTCTACGCAAAACAGCGAATAAATCAGGCTAATACTTATACAAAGCAATGTGAACGTGTATTTTCATCTCATCAAATATATCTATATTCATATATATCAAATATATGAAAGGCCACATAAATATTTAGCCAAGGTGGGAGGTTTAACTAAGTTTCTTGTGCTTACAAATAAATGATTAAATGTCCTTTCTGTTTTGCCTCAAAACATGATTTATATCTAATAATAATCTCTCAATCTTTTCCCCAGCTTATTGACCTGAGCTCACCTCTCATCAAATGGAGTCCAGAGGAAAAAAAAGAGAACCAAGCTCCGCTCATAAACCTGTCCTTCTGATCCTCCTGAAGCTTCAGACATCTCCAGTTTATAACTCCAATCAGTTTTTCTTCAGAAGCCCAGGACAGTCTAATTAATGCATTCTCAGGAAGTCCTCGTTACGCCAGAGGATTATGTCTGAAACGATGATTGTCCGCTTGCTTTGCTTCTCTTCAGCTGATTAGACTTTTAATTTTACTCCCTGCTTCTTTTATTGTCTGAATAAATGTTAATCAATACTGTAAATCTTGTTTGCCTTTGTGTGCTTGTGGTCGGAAAATTCAGATTTCTCTTATTTCATATATTAATTTATCCTATTTACTCACAATAAAAGGTTTAAACTCAGCGTGTTTCACCTGCAAGGCCACACAATTCCCCTGTGTGAGGGTGTTTAAAGACCAGATATAGCTTCTTCTGCTTTATCTGCTGTAAGCCAACCTTTTATCCCAGGTTGGCTTACAGCAGATAGTAACTGGTTCGCTGTTTATTGACTAGAATTAAATTACCTGCAGACAGATAAACTGAAAAGCGGCCATTTTACTGTTGACCCAGTTACAGGAGGTTGGGTAAAGATGGGCAGGCTAAGGGTTCCAGGAATCTACCTAAACCACCCCACCCCCATAGTGAGAGAAAAAGGCCTGAATGGTATGCATACAATAATTACAAACTTTGATCATTTCTATTAATGCCATTTGTTTGTTTTATCTGTTGTCTGTAGTTTGTGATTGTTGTCCATTTGTGAAATGATAATTTAGTTATTTTTGTCTTGAGAAAATAGAGGTGAGTGAATAATTAAGGTTAAAGTGTAAAATAAGGACAGTTTCTAGTTTGTGGCTCATTCTTTTCCCTGACCTGTTTTCAAAACAAAGCAGGGAGTTAAATGTGCTAATGCAAAATTGTTTGAATTAATAGTAAAAGGGATTGATATAAGGTTCTGATATCACATCATTACAATATAGGTTAATGAAACAGTTTAAACACATTAACAGATTTTGTTTGTTTGATAATAATTGTGCCTTTTTTCAAATAAGCAAGGAACTGTCATTATTTTAATATTAGTTTAATTTGTATAATTCTTTAAGGTTTAGATTAAACTTTTGAAGGGAAAATAAATCTGTAAAGCAAAATGACTTGTATGAAAAAATAATTAGGCTGATTGAATTTGCTTTTAAATTACTGTCAGTTCATTTAGAAGTAAATGTATCTTAAGCTGATCTTGAATAAATATGCAAATGTCTTTATCATAGGTAATTAATACTTATACGGTGTTCCATTACATTAATAATAGTGACAGAGGATATAGATAACAGGATTTAATTCCTAGATTAAGATAAATTGTGGAGGCTTTAATTTTAACAATTCTTAATGAATACCTCAGATATATCTTGAGGTTAAATTGATTGAAATGTTATGTTGTTTCTTCAACAAAACACATTTGTTCTGATGAAGAAAAGGGGTGGAGAAGAATAGAACAGAAAACACATCTAAACTCATAAGGATCTACATAGATGCTGTTTCCCCCCCCCCCATCTGGAACAGTTCATGTGGTACTTGGGTTGGTAATTGAGAGGAGAATAAATAACCTAAATAAAATACAAAAATGATACGAATAAACCAGTAAAGTGAATAAATAGGTGTATAAAATGCCTGTCTAAAGGAAAATGATCTATTTGGGTAATTCTTTGCAGCAGAATACAGAAATGACTGTTCGATGAAGTTTGAACACCTAGGCCTGACTTGTCTGATGTGCGTTTGGAAAAAACAGTGTTGTTTATTGATAGTTCAGCTTCTTGCACCCCTGGTTTGGTGTTTGTTCTCTTCATGAAACTCTTGTTTCTGGTTCTTTGCCAAAAACCTCAGCTAAAACTGTTGAACTTGTTGCTCCAACAAAAGCCTGTTTAGTTTGCTGAAGGATTGTGGTTGGGGGTTTTGATATTGCATCAACTTGGAAACATTGTTCATTCTTGAAATCAGATGGAAAGCCCATTTTCTTCTTCCACACACATTATGTCTCGTGGAAGCAACAGCATGATGCCGCAAAGCTTGCAGCTGCAGTTTCTCCTCAGTTCAATGTCACTGCAGTCCACCGACACAGTCCCTCCCTCCTCTGCTCAGGAGAAGTGTGTTTGGACTTCTGCAGGTGCAAAAGTGATAAAGATTACAAAACAGTAAGGAAGTAAAGTTACTGGGTAAGTTTGGAATTATGGAATAATTCAATGGTTTGTGACAAAGTTCAAATGTTGATCTAAACTTCAAGCTACATGAACTTATTTTATCTACTATTGTTTGTGAAAAGGCCAGATAACATGTGATCTGTCCTCATCAGCTGCTTTAATTCACACTGTTTGTAACTTTGACTCACAGTTTTCCTCCACGAGGTCATGACCGGTTGACCCTTACCTGGACCACAGAACGGACCAGACCACTGGCCAGACTAGGACTGACAGGTGACATATTAAAGTGACCTACAAGACGTCCCCTGGCTTTACAGACAGACCAAAGTGCCTGGAGACCCTCATGGAGGAACATCTCAGCCAACCCTCAGCACAAGATGTGGCTCAAAGTCATCAAAAGAAAGTGATCAGAGCTCATCAGGAAGAGCTTCAATGAAGCAAATCAGAATAAAGGGGCAGAATAATCCCCTCTGATTGGTTAGTTAACACTTCAGTAGTCCACCTGATGTGTGGAGGACCAGCTGTTCTGCAGCAAACGTTCAAAATGTCGCCTGTATAAGGGACCAACTTCAACAGAAAGACAAAGACACCCACCTGAAGATGTCTGACATCAGCTTTTGGCTCTGGTTATTTAATTATACGACATGATTGAGAGGGGGAAATGTGTTGTATTTTAATGAAAAATTAACTTTTTTAGCATCTAAGTGTTTGATATTGGTTTCTAAATACAAAAGACATCAGATGACCACATCATGGCTGATAATAAGTAATGACAGAAATTTTTGGATTGGAGAAGGAGCGCTGATGATCGGGTTATCTCAGCTACCATTGGGAAAAAGGAGCGCTGATATTAAACCTTCGCTTTGTCAAATGTGTGCTTTGACTGACCCTAAGTCTGAAGAGCTGAACTTGTTATCTGTGTGAAACATCTTTATGTTATGAATTTAACATTTTGCATTGAGATTTTTCTTTTTTTTTTTTTTTTACTGAGCATTTAGAAGCTCAGGTTAATCATTTAACTTATACTTTGTAGACATGAAGTCTATTTTTTGGACTGATTTGACCTTTTCTCTTTCCAGGGGAAACAAAAACTGTAACTGATGACTAAAATAAAAACAAAAATAATAATAATCTTTTAAAATTCTCAGCAAATAGATCTTTTACCATGGAAAGTATCATCATGGGGAAAACAGTAAAATCTTTTGCCAACTAGGATGTGATCCAGGGCTCAATCTATTGGCAACATATTTAAGCTATCTAATCTTTTCCATGATTTTTTTATATATTATAAT